AAATGTATCTTTTTGGCATTTAAATCCACTGTCAGTCCTTTTAAAAATTACCCAGAAGACTTTTCACATCGAGACACAATGACACAGATCCCTTCATACTGCTAGTTTTTCCTATAGGGCACATGCACTCACTAGAGAGAGGAGAAAGTGAGAAATCACCCCCTGGGGACGGCCACACCCCAGTCCCTCCCCCCTTCTCCTCTCGGGATTTTGGGCGTACACCCACACATGCGCCTGGCATGATTTTCAAGCTGCCGGTTCCAGGACTTGAACTGCTCGGTTGGACATGTAGGATCCAGCGCCTTAACCTCCGTACCACCAGCTGACCCAAGCCCAGCTGTTTCTTGTTTGAGGTTGATGGACAGATTCCAGACTGTGTCACTGAAATCGGTAGCAAGCACGCATGTACCCCAAATGCACGCTCTCTGGAAGGGTCCGTCACAGCCATGAGGTTGTCGGGCTGTCTGTGCCCTGAGGGACGTTCCGACAGCTGGGCTAGCATCTTCCATCCCGGGAAGAGAGGGTCCACACACTCCGAGGACCTTCCGGCGTCTGCGCCAACCTGGGGCTCTCCCCCACTGCAGTGTCTCTGATGAAAATGCCTGATCTGTGTGTCTCCTCGTGTGACCCCAGTTTATTCAGGCCACCCAGGGGTGGCCCCGGTGTTTCTCCCCAGTCCTCGCCTCCCCCCAGGAGTTGGGGAGATGAGGAGGATGGAAGCAAGGGCAGGCCCACGTCGGGGTGCCTTTGGGAGCGCGTCGGCCCTCGGCACTTACCTTCGCAGCTAGGTGAGCTGGCCGGTCCTCCCCAGAGTTGCTAGGACAGTGAGACATGTCACAGTGCAGAGGTGAAGATGACTCCTCAGAGCCACAGTTCAGGGGTGGCCGGGGGCACTGAGGGCTTTGTGCCGAGAAACCGTCAGTCACAGCAAACCCTGTATTGGAAACCCAAAGTGACCTTCTTCAGCAGCCCTGCCCTCCAGGAGAAGGCAAGGACTTGCCTGGCATTTCCCTTTTAAAGTTTCAAGCCTTCCTCCTTTCCAGTCGGCTCTCAATCTGTTGGTGTGTAGCCTCGATCTGTTGGTGTGTAGCCTCGGTGCAGCTAAGTGAGTCGCAGCTAAGTGAGTCGCGTTCACTGCTGTGAGGGTCCTACGGGAAGGACTGCTTTGAGCTCCACTCTTGCCCTGTGCACCTCCTGGCCTCCCCGCCCCCACCCCCTTGCTCACCACCTCTGCAGCCTGGAGAGGCGGGTTGCAGAAAACCTGAACTGGAAAACGTCAGAGCTGAGTTGTATACCATTGGACTGTGTCCGTCTTTAAAGATCAGATTTATCTGCTTCCTTCTGACTTTATTTTTTAAGAGGTTATCACCTTAGGGTGCATATGCTGGTTGGAGAGAGACAGACAGTGAGAGTGAAAGTGAGAAATCACTCCTGTGGGGGAATGGCCACCCCACAAATCCATTCTCCTCCTGGGACCTTGGGTACGCACACACGCTATGATTTTCAAGCCACTGGGTCCAGGCCTC